CAACCCAAAAATAAAATAATGTCACTGGCCAAAACAATATAGTGCAACTTTTGCAAGAAGTTTGTCTTTCCTAGAGAAGTCTCACTTTAAAGCATTATTTGGCTGCCTTCTTGATATAAAATAAATGTTGTGTTTAGTGTTTATTTAGCTTTAGACAACATTCAAAGTAAATGCTCTATTTACAGTATCACAGATCCTCCAACGTCTGTACAGACTTCAGTTTATTCTTGTGATGACAACAATGAGAAAATATTTTGAACTGAAGCAAAAAAATATGTAAGTGAAGGATACCGTCTGTCTGTCCATCCATCTATCCATCCTGTTTTATAAAAATGTTGGCAATCTATTGTTTCGACTACAGATGCAAATCTGTTGATGTATGCTTTCACCTTCTGTGCACATCAAGAGACTAAAACTGTAACAACTAGAATACTTATAAAACTACATATTTTTCCTCATCTACTTTTGCACTATTTTGTGTCACATAAAATTCCCACAAAATACTTTGAGGTGGATTTATTGAATTTTCAGAGCCAGATTGTACTTCAGCAATGAAGAATATGTTTTATTTTAAGGCTTTTTACACAAACGCATTTATGGCCATTGAAGTGCATCGATTTATGGCCATTGAAGTGCATCGAGAACTTATTTCTGCCTCAAGAAATAAGAAGATGCCGTCACTATAGATTTCAGGTTGTCTTTCATTTCCACAATGAGAAAAGCTGATAGGATCAGTCATTTTTTGTCAGATTCTCCATCACAGCAGAGTCTCTGTTGAATGTGTAAGTGCAGTATATTTGATGTCCACCAGTTTAATAAAAATGAACAATGTCAAGCCACTGAAATGAAAAATTCAGTCCAGTGAAAGAAATTTGCTGCCACGCTCAGCCACTGAAAAGGAACAGCTCAGCCTTTTTGCAGCCTCTCCATTGGCTTTTCCTTCCACCTCACAACAATCAAACATGCACACACAAACATTAGAGCCTTCCACTTGTCATGCACAGCAGCTGCCCAAAAACCTGCAGCTATCGGTGCATCTGACTGGGGAACACTGTCTCTGGTAACTTCGTTATTCGTGCAGCTGAATGGCTCAAAGAGGAGTCACTGCGTGCCACGAGCTTTTGTTTCTGAAGCAACATCAGTCAGCTTTTTCCCTTTGCAGCTATTGTGACAGCTCTGCTCACCACCAGGCTCAGTCTAACTAAAGGTCACTGTGGTTTTTGTGTACATCAGTGTTCAGAGACCTCTGTAATGAAAGTGCTCCCATAAAGTTCATCTGCGAGAGCCTTCAGGGAGTTTTATTTGAAAATAAGAGTTGACTTTTGTATTTGTTGACAAGCTTCCACTTAGTGGTGTCTTGGTTGAGTAACCAAGACACCGTGAGGCTGCTCCTCAGTCCCAGTGGTCTGAGGAGCAGCATTTTATTTTTTTAAAATCTTTTTTAGTATGAGTGTATGACAAAATGACTGCTTCACCTCTGTTTTTACTGTGCATCACGCTCTTTGCTGACCATCTAGTGAGTTTCCAGCTCATTGATTTGGCAAAAGACAGAAGAAGGAGACCAGTGAGCTGTTTCTGATTAAATGTGCAGTGATTTTGGAGGCTGCAAAAAGGTTCTGAAAGACTCAGTTTAGTTTGGTGTCTTTGTGTGACTCAATGTTTATTCTGTTGTGTTACAAATGTTGGCATAAACTTTGAAAAAGTCTGAAATTTTAACAATTTATGCTTACATTTCTATTCAACAGATACGTTGGCCGTTGTGACTTAAACTGTTAGTGATTTAGTGGCATTTTTGCAGATCGTATAAACAATGCTTGCTTACCCTGATCTCTTACAACTGGAAATTTATCAGCACCTGACTGCTGAATGCTGATATTAGCTAAATATGTTTCTTTTTCATTTATAAAGGATTGCTTTTCAGAGGTGTTTTTGTACTGGTAAATAACTCTGCTACAGATACAACATCTTCCCAAAGTATAGGGTCACCTCAGTAAACTCCAGCTGTGACAGGATGCCACCTGTGCAATGAGCCAGGCTGTAAACTCTCTTTCCTCCTACTTATTCCATAGTCAGCTGTCAGATGAAGGAGTCTGGGAACATTTTATGCAGTGGGTCACATAAAATCAGAGTGGGGTCAGAGGAAGCTGGGGGGCAACTTTCAGTGGAGTCAACAGCTGTAGACTTCCTGTGTTCCTCCGTTCTTGAACTGTCAGGTTAACTCAAGAAAGGCGCAAAGACAGTTTTATGGATATCCAAAGTTGGGTGTGGCTCCTTAATTCCAGTAAAGGAAAAGACACAAAGTTATTTTGGACAATTTCATGCTTCCAATATCAATATTTTGCTTTTGTACAATTAATTTTTGTCTTTATTCTGAAACCTAAAAATAGAAATAAAATTGTGGCTCGCTCACACTTAGACATGTGAGAGAACTTTCTGAACGAGCCATGAGAGTGTGATTCTTTAAAAAGAAAACATTTATCTGAGGGAATGTAGAAAAGACCTGCAAAATGCAAAGCAAAAAGCTGCTCCAAATGGTTTAGGTTTATAAATGCAAAATAAAATAATTCTATTGATTTCTGATGGTATATTTCTTAAGAATCCAATGATTTTACCTTCTCCTATGGTGAGACTCAGTAAACATCAGATCAGAAAGGAATTAGAGCTGATTTGACATCATCTTCCAGCAGCATGAAATATATTTGGAACTTCCCATCTGTCTGTGAATCCTTAGATTTGACTGAATATCTAATTTTTTGTCATGTGGAATCTCTTAATACTCATTCAGTTGACTAATGAAACCAGTAACCCAGCAGCTATATACTGAGGAAAAGTGCAAACACCATCATGAAGAGCTTGTTTATTAGGCTGCGCAGAAGCCTTCATCCGTCATCCATGACGGTCTCTTAGATGGAGTCCAGTTCTACTAAGTAAACCTGTGCAGCACAGTTTCCACTGAGAGAGAAACAAAATGTTTTCAGCTCCCATTAATGTCACTTGAAGGCAGAAAGGGGAATAATGTGAAATGCTCTAATGGAAAGATGAAGACAGAGTGTAACTTGTTTCCCCTGAAGTTTTGCAGTTTTTCCTTTTTGTGGTGTCTGACTGCCACATGGCCTCTCTGTTCTCTGTTTATTAACTGGTCGACTGTTAAAAACACTTCGGTGACAAAACTCAGCTAGTTGGATTCAACTCAGTGGAAAACATTTCACCTGCCAGCGCAATCCAACCCAAAGAACCTGACTTTTCAGTAATGACGTCCAGAATGTTTTGAGGCTATTTAATTCCCCCCTCCAGGGAGGCCAGACTGCCGTTAGATCTGCAGCCAAGCTAAAGTTCACTCTATCTGTGAGTGATTGTGCTTAATGCTGGAGCTGGAAGGGTGTAAGGAGAACTTCCAGAGATGCAGAATGCTTCATTACCTACAGCCTCAGATCTTTCTGTATGAGCTCTGCTATAATTTCACAAGGGCTTGAGCCTCTGGGGATCAAAAAAGTAAATGATACATTCAGATTTGGCCCTTGCTAACATGCTCCCTGTGCATCATGTCAGGATTTTTATTTTTCCCATGTTTCCTGTCATGAGTCGTTCTGCTCCTGTTGTCCCTGCTGATTAGCTCATTGCTCTCACCTGCTGTTTATTGCTAATGGCTCTTACCTGTGCTGCAGTATATGTAAAGTCCCTCGATGCAAATTGTCTATCTTCGTCCTTGACAAAGCCTTTGCATGATCCAGGGGTGAATTCCTGATGTGCACCAGGCCTGTTTTCTGTCTCCTGACTACTGCCAGTTCCCTAGCTGCCCTGTGAGTTACTCTGCTTTTTGCTGTGCCCTTGTACAAAGACGTTGATTAGTGCCTTGCGCATTCTGGATCTCTTCTTCCTACCTGGACGATTTACCCATCCACTAATCCTACAATATCTAATAAAAACCATTTGTGATGATATTAACAACATTTTATGAGATCAAATCTTTTGTCTTCTTGATTACCAACTTGCTTATATGTACAAAATTGTGAAAAAATATGCACATGCTTCTTCTCTTGCTTTGTTGACACACTTAAAAGATCCAGAACATCAAACTAACCAGCATGACATACAATTAAAATGTGGCAATTGAATAACTTATGAGAAACAAAGTTACCTATATCTAGCAGCAAAGAAAAGATTAGAAATTCTTTTAAGGAATTAAAATAAACTGAATTTAAATTTAAGGCATTTCAAATACAGTGGAGCAGTAAACCATCACACTTCCACCTCTGTGTTTAGCTGTTGGGATTCTTGTACTATTTTCTTGCATCTGTTTTATCCCAGATGTAGTAGATATTTCAGTAGATTTCACTTTTGTCTTGACAATCTACAGCATATTTTCCAAAAGCAAAGAGTACCAAGAATGTCTTTTATATCTCTGTTGCAAGATTGCATTAAATACCTCACCTTCGAGAGGAAAACCTTTTGTGGAGCTAAAAATGGGAGATATTTTCGCATTTGATAAACTTGTGCACACATGTTAATTATGTCACCGTGTCCCCAAATGTGTTTCACCCTGGAAACAGACATTTCAAGCAGGTCTTTTAAAGAGGAGTTTGCAAAATCTTTTGCACCTGAGGAGGGCGCTCTAACTAACCTGTCATTGTGCAAAAGGTGAAAAATGACAAGACCTTTCATTATCAAAACAAACACCAAAATTCGAACAAGAACCATGAAAACGTGTAGGCTATTCCTTCCTTATTGTAATGCACTCATATTAAAACTCTTTAAACGGGTGTAGCCTGTTAAAGAAGAATCTGTCTCCGGCCATTCTAAATTTGTTTGTGAAAATTAAACAACCTATAAATTGTTTTTTTTTTTAAAAAAAAAAAAAAAAGCAGATGCTTGTCTAATTTTTTGCGGGTTCGAAGGTGGATGACAGCCATTGGTTCTGGGGAGCTGATGACGGTGAGAGCGCACCGTGTTCTCCAGGAGCGCCTTCTTCAGCTTCTTTTTGCACCCAGCAGCTGGGACCACAGCACCATGTGGAGCTGAGCTGCACCTTTCTCTCTTTTTTTTACGCTTTAAACTCTCTTTTTTTCCCCAGACATCATCAGCTCTGGTTCATTTCAGAGCGCGTCCCAGGAGCGCGCAGAGCGGCGCACATTTGGAGACAAGAAAAAAAAAAAAAGCAATCAGTGCTCAGTGCAGCGCAGGCAGGTCTTTGCTCTTTTAAAAAGCAGCAGGGAGACGGCTGGCTGTCGGAGAGTTGGCGCGGTCGGTGTAGGAGCGAAGACGGGAAAGCTGGTGGGAGGAAAGCAAGAATAAAAAAGCCCAGCGGAATAAAGAGAGAGAACTTGGATATGGCTGCTGTGAAGACGCTCAACCTTCTCGCTGGAGTTGTTTCATTGTTGCTCTGTGTGTGGAATATCCGAGCGGACATCGGTGACGGTAAGAACCCTCAGCATTTTCCTCGGACCTGCGTGTTAGGACCAGAGCTTGTCCATAACCGAAACACAATAAAGCTGATGGAGAGTGGATGTGTTGCAGCAGAGACCCTCTTGTTTGTCAGACTCTAACAACATGTGTGCAGGAAAAATTCCCTCAGGCTCTTGTTGCTTTATTTTTAGGACTCATTAGATCATTAAACTAAGAAAAAGGCTTTCATGACCCAACTTTCTGCACTTTAAAAAAATTTTAATTTTATAACCACTGCGAATATAATTGAATTTCCTCATGCACAACATTTAGTCGGGCTGGAATGAGATGTACTGTTTAGATGTTTTGTTTGGGGTGTGGGCGGTTGCCCTGGACGGCATTAGAAATGGGGTGTCTCAGATTTTCTATTGTATTTATGGATGTGTGGGGCATGCAGTGAATTTTTCTCACCCCAAAATGTTGATTTCCTACATTTTGGTTTATCAAAGGTCTGCAGATGGTGGTCTTTCAGTAGCAGTTATCTAATAAGTGCTACTGAAGCCTATCCTGCCATTACTAACAGCTCTTGGATACATTTCCTACATCTTTGTCTTCCAACATATTGTGGCTGTATCTGCAGCTAACTTGCAAAGTTGCAAAAGTTGCTGCCACAGAAACTTCCACAAAACCGTACCTGGTTTGTGAATATTTGGTTGTACCAGATTTCCCAGTTAGATGTGGTTAAAGGCAATGACAAGTTAGATAGTGTTTTATCCTTTGTGTGGGGCTACATAAATGTCCCAATATCAAATCAGCAGATTAACCAAAACACACAATGCTTGTTTTCTAGACATTTTATCCTGCATCTACATGTACTAAAGTGATTTAATGATGAAACAGGTTTGACAGTTTTCTGGTCTGGGTGTGGCTGCTTAACCTGAACCACAAGATGCCATTGATCACTCATGATTTAATAAGAGTTTCTATTACTTTTTGAACTGAATTTCAGGTAAGAATTAATTTACCTTGATTTGAAGGTAACTGAATAAACGTATATAATGTCAAATATAACCACACTAGTAATCTGTGAGGAGCAAATGTCTAAAGTTCTGTAGAAAAAGCGTCACCTATTTGCAACTTTTCACACATCAGGGAAGAAAAAAAATGTACATTTCCTTTTCCTCCACACTGGAGCTACAAGTTCACTGTGCAGAATGGAGGCAGACGACACCAACAGTTCCCCTGAAACCTCAGATCTTAACGATGTGATAAGTTTTGCCATTCAGCTCACACGCGAGCTCTTGTTTTTCACTCCAGATAGCGGTCAGGGAAATTCTCTTCCGCTGACAGTGACTGCAGATTAAACTCACATGTGTGTGATGGCATGCCTCAGGGATGTGTAGGAATGTTTTGCAGACCCTCACACACATGCATTTTTGCAGACAGTTGCAGATTACAGATAGGTTTTGGAAAATATAAGCAGAGGAAATCTCAGCTGCATCAACATGTACAAAAATAAAACCCTCTCCTGGGCAAGCTGGACAAATTTGTATGTAGGACAGTATTTTTAGATGAGGTGCTCCCCTGCTTGTTGGATGACCTTAACTTCTGTGCAGCTGGAACCCGGAGCCCCCTGTCCTTACTTAGATTGGTGCTCATTAATAGAGCACAAAATGACGTTTCCAAAATCAGCTGCTCCGCAGGGAGGATTTAAGGCACCATTCACTCCCAGAAAGCTTTCAGTCCCTTGGAAAAGTGTCACAGTAGCTCCACCACAATCTAAGATGTGAGGAGTGGCTGAAAAATGCATTTCCCCTCCTTGCATTTACTAGTCAGATAAACTAGAGAACATCTGGGTAAAATTACACAATATCCTGTGAGCTTAGTGCATCCCTTTTTTTAAGTTTCCATGGCACACTCAGCGGTGGCACACTCAGAAAATTGGGGCTGACTTTTTGGGTCAATTTGTGCTCTGTTGCTTTCCCCTGAATGTGGGGGGGATAGAGATGTGCCACTCCAGTCTGGAGTGTGTCTGTCCATGAGATGAGAGTCGAGAGAGCTTGGGAGAGGGAGGCTTGGCTCATTTCACTACGTGGTTTGATGTTAAAAGCTCTGTGTTTGGAGGCTGTTAATGTGCGAAGACTGCGGCTGCATGTGGAATTTCCTTTCCTCGTACACTGGAGGAGCTTGAAAGAGGTTGTAGGCTGGTCTCAGACTGCAGCAGCGTGGACGTCTCCAGCTCAGACGCCCTGTTCTTCATCCATCATGCTGCCAGGAGCTGCCTCTGCAGTCATGCACATGCTCAGGCGCATGGATGGTGCGTGCTACAGCCAAATGTAGCTCTATAATGAGGACTCTAATGAATTGCTTGACATTAGCTTACCGGATCCTGTTGTGTGGGCTGGTATGATGTTTTCACAAAAAAATATATCATGTAGTTGTTGATTAAAACAGAAAACCAAAAAATGAAAAAGCTACATGTATTCACATCTATTGGCTTACAAGTTTCATGGCAACAATTCAAGCCTTGAGACTTCTTGGTTATGTCTCGACAAGCTCGGCACACCTATTCTGTTTTCTCCTATTCTTCTCTTCAGATTTTTATCACCCTCAGTCAGGTTTGACGGGTGGTGTAGGTGGAAAGCTGTTTTAGGACAATTTAGACATTTAAGTTTGAATTAAATCCAGGCTCTGTCTGGGCCCCTTAAAGACATTCAGAGATTGCTCCTGAAGCCTCTCCTTTGTGATCTTGGCTGTATTATTTTTTTCAGATACTGTAGATCATTGCCTTACACTACAGAGCACTTTGTTGAAGAATCTCCATATTCGACTGGTTACCTTACCATCTTTACAACCCAGTGCTCAGTTACTGAAAAATAGAAACTTTCCTATGACATGATGCAGCTACCACCATGCTTGTCATGTCAGCCAGTTAATGGGCAGTGTCTGTTTTTCACCAAACTCTTTTTTTTTTAAATTTGTAAAATATATATCTTTACAGGACAAATAGGATGGATTTAAAGGCAGTAATAAATAATTGTTTTCAATTTACATAAATTCATTGCATAGTCAGAATTAGACCATATTTAATGCTGTAAAATTCAAATCAGTAATAATAAAACACAGTCAAAATTTGTTGATCATAAGATTCTAACTGGCTTAACACACCTTAACTGAAAAAAGCCTTGGGGGTTGCATTAAATCAGTGACGTCTCTGCAAATAACCATCAAATGCAGAATAGATAGCAGGGTTATGATTCATTCAACAGAGTTTTAATCAACTGGAAATGCAAGATTTTAGAAGTGGAGTTGTTTTAAAATTGGAATAACCTGACTTTTACAAATGGTATGACCCGCGTTTCACCTGCGTTGCCTTCAAAGAGCTGGATGTTGCTGTCAGTGTGCTGCCGCCTCTCACAGAGGCTGATGCTGTCCCGTCTCACACAGGCTGCAGGTACTTCAGCACACAGCTCACTGGCTCTTCTCATGAACAGCTGAAGCTTTATGTGAAAAAGTAGTTTACACACCACCATGAAAGCTTCGTCTTAAAACCTTCCAAACGTTTCGGAAGATTTTAGAAAAGGCTTTAGAGAGCAGAGAGCTCTCTAAAGCTGTCTGCTTTAGAGAGCTTGGACTTTTCACATTTTGTCATGATGCCACCACAAACTTAATGTGGTTTATTGGGACTTTACACGACTGACCAGGGGACTGTAACCTGGGACACCACAGCCATTTGCTCTGTAGCCTGTCCAAAGTTGGGGAAGACATCTGTTCAGATTCTTAATCATCCCACATAGAGTAGATCACAAACATTTAATGAAGAACAAACCATAGCAGCTTTCATGACAACTATGATAAAAATGTATGTACAGGAATCCCATCAGCCAATTCAAACCTTTACCAACTTTGGACATCTAAAGGCTAATTTCCCCCTCCTTTTCTTTATTGGGAAGAAGCTCAATCACATTGGATGGAAAATGTCTGAACATCAATATTGAAGCCTTGGTGCTTATTCTCACCTGGATTTATATCTGGACTTTGGCCAGGCTGTTCAAACGCTCGGGTGTATTTTGATCTAAATCATTCCCCTGGAGCTCTGAATGCATATTTAGAGTTCTTACGTTGCTAGAATGTGAATAATCATTGGGCTTTTACAACCTCTATTCTAAAGCAGAATCCCCACAGCATGATGCTGCTGCCATCACGTGTCATGTTTAGTTTTCCTCCAAAGTTCGATATGAAGGTCAAAACGTTAAACTTAATGTAATCTTCATTGCTGATCCGTTCCGTAAAATACGTAGAAAGATGAAATGTGAAAAGTTCAGACAGTTTGAAGAGTTTAAGGGATGTCAGCTTCATTTCAACCACCTTTTTTGAGATGGTTGTCAGCCCCCTTGGAATTTTCTTCACCTCATTCCTCTCCCTGTGTCTGATATTTTTCTGACATTGCACATTTTGGAGCAGCAGACCGAGTTAGCTTTCTTATTGGCTCTCTATATGACCTGCTGAATGGAGCTGCCATGAATGAATAAAGGGGGGTGGGGGGTCTTTAAGAGGGTGAGAGACAAGGAGGGGCAGCAACAGCGGCGAGGCTTATTGTGCCGCCCTGTGTGTGGTGGCAGCGGGCCGTGCCGTATCATCCTCCCCCCGATCCTCTCTCAGCAGCATGAAACAGCAGCACCAGGTTCCTGCATTCGTCACGCTATGGCCCTTGTCGCTCATCTCCCCGCCCCTCTCGGTTCGGGAAAAAGCTCAGCCCGACTGCTTTAGAGAGCTGAAGCACCACATCGGGTTCAATAGGCTGAGAGACAAAGAGCCAAGAGGCCACTAGTTAATGATGCCCGACGTATTTAAGCCTTTCTTTAGGGTTTTTCTCATAGGGGTTTCTTCAGTCTAAAAGCTGATGCAAAGCTCTGCCTGGGTTACAACTTCTTAGAGGCGCTGGTCATCACTCTGGCATCTTTTCCTTTTGTGAGATTTGTTTGGCAAAACCAAAACACAAGAGTTACGTTCAGCATCAGCGGAGAACCTTT